GTCGAAGACGATCGCGGTTAGCCTCCCTCCGAATTCTAGCATCCACCTCCTGAGCAATGGAAACGGTACGAGCGTAGGTCTGGGCTTCGTGACCTACAATATTGTGACGGACTGCTGGGTAAAGCCCGTCAGTGAAACGCTGTGCTCTCTGAGCCTCTGTACGCACCAGGTCGGGAAGAAAGGCTCCGAGTCTAGTGAATTCTCTCTCGTACTCATCAACAGAACGAGTACCCTGCTTGAGCGACAAAAATTGACGCTTCATCTCTGCTCGGTAGTACGTGGGATAATACTTCTCACAAATCATCTCCTTGAATCTGTCCCAGGTACACCCTTCTTTCTCGCCGGGACGCATACTCCAGTAGGCATTCCACTAGAGTCGAGCATCACCGGTCAACTAAAGTTGTGCGCAAGTAACGCGATAGCGATCTGGACAGTCCATGACCTCAAAAATCAATTCGAGTCCCTGAACCCATTCATCTACGATACGCGGGTCTCCTTGACCAGAGAATTTCTCAGGGTGGTAGTCGCGGAACTGTGTGACTATCGTGGCCTGGGGAACCGCCGGATGATCAGGTTCTCTACGGGGTGGCATCTGAATATTGAAAAATTTCAACATGATCAAAATACAAGGAACATACTTTAACTAATCATTAAAGCGCACAAATCTCTTGACGAGTTGCTAAACATGACTGGAAAATACTGACTGATATCCTGAACTACTGATTCTGAACATGATTCGAGCATCTTAACTATATTATAACTGAGAAATTTCTGAGCACAGATATTTGTTTATAATTTAAAAACATGAATCAACACTTACCTGTAGTCGGAGAGGCGTGAGCATGACGTGTTCAGGTTTTCGAAAATTTTCTGACTCATGAACTTTTCAGAGACGCAGAAACGTGCTCTGATACCAACTGTAACACCCCGTCTTGACATGAAAATCAGAGTGCATTTATACAACCTTTTTAAACAAAATACTGATTAGTTTGCAAAATACTGTTTCGGAGTGCTACCATAATACATGACTTACTTTTAAATTAGACTATTTTTAAGAAACGGACTCACAGTCTGCTGACGGTCAAAAGGGCTAAGTTTGACAAACAGTGAAAAGTCAGCAGAAACTGTAGCGTCAAAACATAATAACAGTGCTGCTATCATGAAAATAAGTCTACGGGAGATAGCAACAGCACTGCTATGCTAAATTCAAACTGTACAAGACGTAACTTAAACTTTATAAGCATAACTCCCGTATAATTTAAACTTTATAAGCATAATCCTGA